TTAATCCGTTGAAGCCCCGGCCTGAATATTTATGCGAGTTGCCGTTTGCGTTGTAAATCGCCACAACCTCCCCCTTCCTCTCTCTCTCTCTCTCTCTCCCCTCCCCCCTCCCTCTCCCTCCTCCCCCGCGTCACCTTTGTATTTTCGCCAAACGCGTTACCGCTAATTGAAATCGTTCCTCCAGGATCGTTTTTCTCCTCGACCGGGGGAGGGGGAGGATCGTTTTTTCCCACCACCCCCTCCACTCAAACCCATCCCAATCATCGATGGAAAATTCGCAGTATTTTTCGAGCAGTAAATACGTACGTGCATGCATACCGCGGATAGAATCGAATCTTTTCCTTTTGGAAATGGGAAAACGGGCAACGACCATGGATCTCGATTTAGCCTCGTGCCCGCAGATATGACGAGGGGAGGGAAGGGGTGTGCGTCTTTCTCTCTCTTTCCCTCTCTCAAGTTTCCATCCGATCTTTCGACCGCAGATAGGACGGGATGAGGAGAAGCAGGCGTAAATCAAGGGCAAGGGTTGAAGGGATTCGAAACGCGAGCCCCCAATTCAACCCAATTATTCCGAGCGATTGGGTTCCCTTGCGTTTTCCCTTTCACTTTCCCTCCCTCGTTTCCTCTCTTCCCTCCTTTCGCTCGCCTAATTGGCCCTTCCACCGTTCTAATTGTTTGTCCCTCCTCCCCACCTTTCTCGAGGTGATGACGACGAAAACGTGGCGCGTCAACGTTTGAGCGAAACGAGGTTCCAACTTGGCCGATCGAAACGACCATCCTTTCTTCGATGGATCATCTCGAAACATCATCACGTCTCGAACATGGTCCGTTTAAATCGTCGCTGTCGACGGGGAATGAAGTTTTGATCGTCAACGAAGAGTTAACTCATTTCCATATATCTTGTAAGCGATAATTAATTTTCGTCGCGGGCTTTTAACACACCGAGCAAAGTGGAAAAATTAATTATTAGAATCTCGAAGAAAGTAAAAATACTTTAAGGGATAAATTTATTTAAAATTAGTAGGCAACATTTATTCCCAGTTTATAATTAACCAGTTTCGTCCGTGCATAATCTCGCATCTGGTTAACTCGCGTTTGAATTATTCGAGTAACTTATCGAACTAACTTTATTCTTAACTCGAACCGTTAACATTTTGCCCATCTCTCGCGAGATGACGTATCCGAACTGGAAAATCCTCCTCTCCCTTGTCGGATTTCCTCCCCTTTTCTCCTTTTTCTTTTCCCTTTTTTTTTCTTTTCCTTTTTTTTACTAGGCTCTCCCCTCTCTCGGTATGCATATTCGGAGAGGAAAGGTTTCGAGGTTCCCTTTGCCAGCCAGCCGTTTAGAAATTTTCGCCGGGGATATATCTTTCGAAGACGGAGAAATCCGTTAAATCATGGGGGCGAAAATTTTTCCACGAATTTTGTAGTAACTTTTTAGTAAAGTTTTGTCAAAATTCACGACGAGCAATGCGAACGAGCAGGGTGGAATCAACGAATCGAGTTACATAATCAATGGACGATGGCCGTTTGATTTAAAATTAGAATTTTAGTCGCGACTCGGCGAAATTACCGATTCATCCGATACGAAAAGATTCAGAGAGCTCGCGTAAATTATTGAGAGGAGATTTTCCAAGATCTAAATATCTTGGAGGAGGGCGGTCGTCACGTTCGATCCCGTCGTGTTCGTGGGGAAGAGGCGGCGAAGAAACGCGCTTGATTAATTATTCCGGGGCGAGGAGTCGACAATTCGGCTTTGGCGACGAATCTGAAAATTTCAAGGAAAATGTTCTGTTAATTTGGCCGGCTGACGGCCCCCGCGCTTAATCGGGTTCTCCGGGCTTGATTAACTATTCATCCTCAACGAGCGGACGACGTTATAACGCTTTCCTTTCGTCCCGATATCGCTCGGTTGGCTAATGAAAAAGAAAAGAAGAAGAAGAAAGAAAAGGAAATAAAGGAAGAAGGGAAGGGAGGAAGGAATGGAGGAGTCGTGGAAAACGGTGGTAAACTCGGAAAGGCTCGGGCCGGAAAAATAGGCAGATTTTTACTCGGTTATTCCCCTAATTTTTCCCCGAAGAAACAGCCCACTCGAGGGGGAACAATGAACATCGAACGACGCATCGCCTCTCTCGCTCTCCACTGCCTCGCCCCTTTTTTGTTCCAACCAACGTCCGTAACCCGTATTTTCAACGGAATCGTGGCGTTGAATGCGCGTTCCCTCGTTGCCAACCGGATATTCTTGCGTACAAATAAAAGCGCGTGGCGTTCTCGAGAGCCTCGGCTTTTCCGAGGCCGCCGAGGAAACCGGTGGCATCGATTTTTTTTTTCTTCTTCTTCTCTTTTCTCCTTTCCTTTCCACCGCCGTAACCGCGCAACACAGCTATTCGACACGCCTTCCACGATTGCGAGAAAAAGAAAAGGAAGGAGAGAGGGAAAAAAAAAAAAAGGAAAAATATCGTCGACTAAACGATTAAACCGTCGTCGATTCGTTTGAACGTATGATACAAAGAGAGAGAGAGAGAGAGAGAGAGAGAGACGTAAACGCGGTTAAAGGAATTCGTTCGAATTCGTTCGTTCGATCTCTCGCGAGAACAACGAGGGGAGCGGCGTCGATGACGTGGAGCATGCAAAAGAACACGCGTCTTGCGGGGGGAGGAGGGTATCCCGCGGCTGAAAGCGGCGCCACCGTAATACTCTCTCCAAAAGTAGTCCAAGTGAATAATGACTCCGTACAATGGAGTTTCGAGACCTTTCTCTCTCTCTCTCTCTCTCCCTCTCTCTTTGTCTTTCTCTTTGCGCAACAAGGGCTTAAACTTTGCACGAGGGCGCGCAATCTTGCCGCCCGTATTTACCTTTCTCGAGCACATTACCGACTCGCGTACGAATTTTCGCGGTTTCACCCGGCTTCTTTAAAGTTTTCGACCGGTCCGACACCGGAAATGGAAATTATTCATGCGCCGGCGTCGTTACGATTTCGCTGAAGGAATCGCGAGAGAGACAGAGAGAGGAGGGAGATACACGTACGCGTGTAGCGTGTGTTAAGGCGTGGCAAGATTTATAAAGCGTTGGAAAATTGGTTCGAGCGAGTCCCATCTCGAAGGGAGAGGTTCACTTTCTCCGATTCTCGAATCGCTTTCGAGTTTCTCGAGCGTAACGGCGAGATACTTGGTTCCCGCTGCGCGTATCCGAGAGCAGTGTTTT